GTGCTTCTGTGGCAGTGGCTGAATCACCAGGAACCTACTTTATCCAAGTGGCTAAGCATATGCTAAACAGTGAAGAGTAATTAAAAAACATGGAGGCAATTAGAATTAAAGGCATGTCAGAGACTCCACTCTGGAAGAACAAGAGCATTTTGCACCATTCTCCGAAATTAATAAAAAAAAAACTTTAGTTCTAAACAGGTCCTCAAATTCCAACCTGACAAACAAAAGGCTTTCAAACCATTTCAGCGGGACTCCGGCCCCAAGGAACATATTGAAAGAGTAACATGACATGGACACTCCATATGATCCCTCCTTTACAGCACTTGGAACAAAGGTTGTACCACCCCATCCATCATGCAGAGACACCTGGTGATTCACCTCTCATCCATGGCAGAAGAAGAAGAAGAAGGGAAGAAGAAGCAAAACCAACCATGCCTGGAAACGAGAGATTAAACACATTGTAGTTTCCAGCATTTTCCAGAAATAGCCATCAGGGCTTTACATTACTGGCTGGCAGCCCGTGAACTGAAGGGAGGCCAATTTCTTGACCTGCAGGTTTCAATGCAAAGACAGTCTGTCCTCCCTGATACCTTATCCAAACGATGTGGGCAAACCAGCGCTGTACGTGTGTTCCGTGCGTGTCTAATCCCACAGGCAAACCAGCCTTTCTATTAAAGGATGTTTTCAGGATCTACACTTCTTTTATTTCTTAAAATACCAGTCACCAAACACCTTACGGAGGGATAAAACTGAGGAACTGGCTCATCAAAAAAAAAAAAAAGAGGAGAAGAGGGACTTTTAGGAAAGGAATATCTAAAAGTCAGTTTGAAGAGGGAAAAAACCTGAAATGGCAAAAAGGGAGCGAGTCTGGAGACATCCCACATCTCACTCCCTCTTACACATGAAGGGACCTCGGAAGTGAGGGGGTGCTCACCCCCACAGAGCTCCACCTGGGCAGAGGGTTTATGGACCCCAGAGGATCAGCAGGAAGACAGAGCAGGAGAGAAAATCGATATGGGAAAGAAGTGAAAACCAAGAAGGCAAATTCGGTCTGGGCAAAGGGCCAAGGCAAGGCCAAGTGCAATTCTAGAAAACAGGACCGAAGCCAGAGGCCCCAAGGTGTCATGACAGGCTCGCACTAGTCTGCAGTGACAACCCAGAATGACACACCTGGCAGGTGCACAGCATCCCCCAGACGTGAAGAGAAACAGCCCTAAACCTAGATTTTTGAACAAAAGTCCCAGGACAGAGGGTCTAAACCAGCAGTTCCTACTTGAGCAGGATCTGGGCTTAGCATAGCACTGGTACCTCCCAGTCCCAGCCCTCTGGGCACACTGGAGTCACACACTGATGTTACACTTTGAGTCAGGGAAAGCAGAACTAAGTCAGAGCTATTTCCCTGAGGACCTGTTTGTTCCCCTGGTTGCACCCTGCATTCCTGCCTGTTCCACCTCTGTCCTGCTGACTCTGCTGCCTTTTCCCACCCTCTGTACACATACCTGATAGAGCAACAAGCCTCAGAACCAGGTATTGTGTGCACCACCACACCCCAATTCGAAGAAATATTGCAGAAAGCAAATGTGCAACGTCATTTATAAAACTGGCATCAGCTTACAAATGTTCCTCACAAAGACCCAACACGGAGGTAAGTCCATGGCTGCCCAAAAGTCACCTGTCCTGCCTCCAGAAGCCCTCAGCAAGTCACTTCATATCCCATCCTTCCTTCCCTACATAACACTTGGTGCAGAGGCAAAGTGGGCAGGAAATGCTGCTGTCCATCCACTCCAGACCATGCTGAGCATGGGAAGGGCAGAAGAGAAGCTGAGTGGGGTTGGGGCTTAAGAGACTGCAAGACAAAAATGAAGTGGATTAAGGCAGGATTTGAGGAGCAGAGGATAAAATGAGAAGGTCAAAGAGGACTTAGAGTCCATGAGTATTGTCTTGAGTCAGGCTTGACAGAATCTCTCTCAGTGTGGTGCCACAAGAGGTGCCATTTAACAAGGGCATGAAGTGACAGGACAAGAAAGCAATGGCTTTAAGCTGAAGAAGGATAAATTTAGATTAGATATTGGGAAGAAATTCTTCCCTCTGAGGGTGGGGAGGCCCTGGCACAGGTTGCCCAGAGAAGCTGTGGCTGCCCCAGCCCTGGAAGGATCCAAGGCCAAGTTGGAGTAACGTGGGATAGTGGAAGGTGTCCCTGCCCATGGCAAGGGGATGGAATGAGATGGTCTTTAAGGTCCCTTCCAAACCAAACCATTCTGGGATTTTATGAGGCAGCTTGGACTTGCAAAGCTGCCATGTGGTTCATTTCCCTCTCTTGGCACCACTGGCAGCCACCAGAACAGCCAACCATTCCTTTTTCAAGGGTTCCCCAGCTGGTAAGTCACCAAGAGCCCATGAGGAGACCACCACAGAGGAGGTGCCTTGAAATGAATGGCACAACTGGATCACTTCCATCTTGTTTTCTGCTGGGGGAGATGCACTGGAAGCAGGTGCCTGAATACATGTACAAGTTTGAGAATGGCTATGATCTGGGGGCTGAACAAGAGCCTCCAGAAATTTGGAGGCCTAACCAGTTTGTCTATACTTGCAGGAGGTGCACAGCTCTGCTGCCCAGGGGTATCTCCCAGTCCACTCTCCACCCTTTCCAGAACACAGAATTTATCTCACCTCACATCATCCCTTCCCTGTCCACACAGAACCACCCTCCTGGGCAAAAACTCCTTTCACCCAAACCAGCAAAGCTCAAAGTCCAGTCTGAAAAAAACAACCCAACCAAAACGAAACAAAAAACCCCAGCCAGTGGACAAAAGGCATTTTTAAAATAAAAACTAAGCAAAGGCTGGGCTCTGTTCTGTTGCTCAAGGCATGTAAATGCTCTGTTCCTACATTTCAGACTCTCCCCAGCAACAGGGTTCCCAAAGCACTTTGTCTCTACAGGGTGAGCAGCTCCATGTCTCCCATGGCAGAGGGCACACAGAGTGATCTGGTTCGTGTTACTGAGCAGGATCAGATGATAGATGAAGATCCATGATGCTGAGCAGCAGCTCACAGGTCAAAGTCTTTTCCTTCTGTCTGAAAATCCTCCTGCACCTTTCTTTTCCAAAGTAAGTAAGTAAAGTAAGTAAGTAAGTAAAGCCCTTCATTCTCCAAAGACTTTTGTTGCTACCAAGCTTTATGTACTTACACATCCCTGCACGAGCAAGATTTTAGCACAAGGACATTGGCTCATTATGTTTCAGCTCACATGATTTTTTTTAGAATCAATTCTTTTGCAAAACTGTTCATTTTACTGGCTCGTGAGATGTGAATTGTAAATCCAGCCAAGAAAACCTACCCTGCATCCCTGGGTCTTAGGAAATGCAGATTTGTCACTTTTCGGTCTCTTTGTATGCTGTTAAATTTTCCTCTGTAATTTTATGCTGCTCAAACACCCAATGACCTAAATGGTCCCAAGAAAGAGGAATTGGCTTCCTCTGGGGGAAAAAAAAAAAAAAAAAAAAAAAAAAAGAGGTGTTTATTAGCAATTTAACTTACCTGACTTGTTTAAAGTGTCATCAGAATGCAACCACCTACTTTCTTTTCTTCATTTTCACTTGATATCCAAGATTTGCTTGAATTGAGAATGTCTAAAGCCTCAGGCATGATCCTGGGTGTTCTCAAGACTTAAATGCCACTGCTTAAAGAGTTAAAGATCTAGATGGCTGCACTAAGAGGATGATAAACTAATCACTCAGTCACTGCTGGTGAGCCTGGTGTCATTTACTGAAACATGGAATGCATTTAACAATGTAAGAGAAACTCCATGCAGTGCAAAAGCCAAAGATGATTGTTTGATTGTCAGGGTTTACTTTGGAGAAAGTCCTCAGTCTAATTACCTAAGTTTGAGCAATAGAAGTATTTTTACCCTCCTTGAAGAAATTAACATTTTCCTTTCAAGTCAATGGGTTGATTTGTTTTTTTTAATGCTACTAAGGACTGCAGATTCTATTCAGGGGACTACAAAAAAATTTAAGATGGGGGCTAGGTAGGAGAAATAATTCTTCCAGGGAACAAGTAAGAAATGTTTCCTGTGATCATAATCATGAGAAAAGTAGAAATAATAATTAGAATACTAGTACTGCACATCTAGCTGCTGATTTGTGTCTTCCAGTTCTGTGAAATGACTGAAAAGGACAGGTCTTGGCACTCAACAGAAATACATATCTAAAAGCCAGGCTCTGATTTGGTGTTATTGTAAGAAAATGCTTTGAATCCTTTTGCCTGCAATCTTTGAACCATGAAGGAAGAGAAAGACCAGGTCCAACATTTCGGTTTTGCATTTTAGGATTTAGTGAACACTGGCATTTTTTTCTCTAGCTTTAAAATCAGCTAAAGACCAAGATATCAAACATGAATAAAACATTAATCGGATTTTGTGGGGCTCACCCAGTGAGCATCCAAACTGCAAATAATATCACTTTATTCTCTTTGACTGTATTAAACTTAGAACAGGACAACTCCATTGTGCTGGCAGTTGGTACAGAACCCTTTCCCAACATACCAAACCCCAGAGCTGCTGTCAGTGGATACCACCAGAAGTTTTTCACTGATGGGAAAGTAAGGCCTGAAGTGACAGAGCAAAATGAAGGTGTGACCATAACTCATCACTGTAGATCAGTGTCACTCTGACCCAGCAATAACAGCCAGTGCAGTGACATCAGCACGTACTGACAGCTAATCCATCTCCCAGAGACTCTGGATGGGTGCTCTGATGTGGCCACAGCACATCCTTGCACACCAATGTCAATTTGACCTGGTAAACACGAGTAATAATAGAAGAGGAAGCAATATCAGCTTAGCAAGCCTTAACTGCTTACCAGTTCTCCAGAGACTCTCGTGGGCACTCTGCTCCCCAGCTGGGACAAAGCTTGTCCCATGGCCCTGGTACTGTGACCCAAATGACTTCCAAGGAGGAGGAGGAGAAGGAGGAGGCAGAAACACTTTCTAATGACACCTACCTTCATGACAAGCTTGACAAGATGCCACATGATCATTTTCCCTACTGGGTGATGGCCGATGGCTCAGGCAGTTCTGCTGACCTTGGTTAGCGTGGTCTCTGAAAGCTTCAGCCTGAGCCATAGGATCAAAATCCAGGTGTATGGGTGGAAATTCAGCTGGTCAAACAGAGAAGTCTCCAGCATTGTCTCATCCTGAAATGAAAATCAAAAATAGATCAGATTGCTCTCAAGCAGTGGCTATTTCCCTGCCTAAAAAGAGAATCCAAATGAGTAAGTCAGGTGTTGCTGTAGAGACCGTAGAGATCTAAAGGCAGCAAAGATAAATGCTATTCAAAGGAACCTGCTGTTCCTGTTGTGTAAACCTTTCCCTCTACAAAGAGGCAACATTTTCCTGAGGAACTGTGTGACAACACTTACCTCACTGCACTGTGTGAAAGACAGAGCAAACACTTTGAGATCAGTGGGACCAAGAAATGCTTTTTTACAAGGGCCTGGAGTGACAGGACAAGGGGGAATGGCTTTAAACTGACAGAGGGAGGGGTTAGATTGGAGATTAGGAAGAAAGTCTTGTCTCTGAGGGTGGTGAGGCACTGACACAGGTTGCCCAGAGAAGCTGTGGCTGCCCCATCCCTGGAAGTGTTCAAGGCCAGGATGGATAAAGCTTGGAACAACCTGGCGTAGTGCAAGGTGTCCCTGTCCATGGCAGAGGGTGGAATGAGATGAGCTTTAAGGTCCCTTCCAACCCAAACCATTCTGAGATTTTATGATAAGAACTGGGGAACTTTCAAAATACACTCGCAGCTCCACAGACCACAATTGTTACTGCAGAGGAAACTGTTTCTACTTCATCTGTATGTGCATGATTTTAAGATCTGAAAAACTGCTGCTCTCGTACTTCTCAGCAGCTAATAAAAACCCTTGTTAGCAACATCTGGATACAAGATAAGGGAACCTTGCAAAGAAACATGAGGTATTCAACAGGTTTCTGCAGTGGGTTCATCGTCAGTTCTCTGAGGACTTTGCTCCAAAATCCACTGAGGTGTTGGGGTGTTTTTCCATTGACTTCATTGGGCTCTGAACCAAGAAGTAAAGCCTCCCTGCTGTGGTTTGGACATTTATTTGTGTTTGATCTGTAATAGGATCTTTCATTTCTCTTATTCCTGTAAAAACAAATAAAGCCAGAGCACAAGAAAGCAACTAAACACGTGCTTAGCTTTAAGCATATCCCTAAACCCATTCAGTTAAGGTCCTTAATTCTAGGGAGTCCTGGGAAAGAAAAGTACATGCTTAAAGTTAAACACGTGCTTGGGGTCTTTGCTAATTAGTGATGGCTCTGTGTCTCACACAAATCTCATCTTAGAGTATCTGGGATTTTAGGGTCCATATGGGAGAAATTACATGGAGACCATCTCAGAAGTGCAAATTTTAGTATTGCATCTGATGCTGGAAGCCTGCCTTTAATGCCTTTAAGATTGATTCTGTTACAACACCATTTACAACTGGTTGAGGGAAGTAGAGTTCCTTAGATATTTGTAAAAATGAGAATACCTAAAACCAGAACCTTTCCTTGGCTATTACTACAACACCGTCCCATCAGGATGACCTAACTTAGCAAAGCAGAACTGCTTTTTGGAATGGATGTGCTTAGTGGCACCTCGAGAGCAGAAGGGTCTCACTTCAGCCAAAGTACTGTCCCTGGCCTCCTTCACTCTGCTTAGAGGAAGCACTCATGTATCCTCTAGAGTCTGGCTCTTGGAAGATAAGTGAGCCTTTACCTTTGGGTCAGACAGAAAATGGAAGAGCATTCCCAGTAGTCTGCACAGAGCTAAAAGCATTTTTCTTCACCACACCATGATTATTTTGGACCTTTGCTAAAGTGTGAGAACTCTCAGCTATCTTGATCACAGACAAGGCCTGAATTTAATATGTTTGACAGGTCAAATCAATGTTGTCTCTGGTGAGAGGACATTTGGGAAGTTTCTTCACAAAACACATGCCAGCTAACAGGAAACCTTTCACCTTTCAACATCTCCTCTGCCAGGACAGGAACTTGTCTCTCTGTGGCTCCCAAACTCCATCTCTTCTAATGCATCTTCCTGAACTCCTTTTCAAGGTGCATCAGTGCACTCAACTTCAGATGCTCCTGGACTTTCAGCTCTCTCTATAAAATTTTATGCTGTCCCATGTTTATAGGTTCATTGTTCTGCAGCCTGAACAACAAGGCCATGTTTCTGTGTCCATTAGTGAGGGATCTGGATCAGATGTTAGCACACAACACTTCTCTCAGCTTAGCCAAAGCACGCAGCCTGGTGCTCCCACTGGCTTTACTATTTATACAGGCTGTGGAAAGACAGGTGATATCTGAACCCTGCATAAAGCCTTCAGAGGAATATTTTTTGAATGCTTTACATCATGTGGCTGCAGTGTCTTTGATCTGAAACTAGATTTACCACAGCTTCACACTTATCTCTGAGGAACAGAGACATGGTGAGTTGATGCATCAACCATCCAAACCACCAAGAACAAAAGGCTGCTGCAGGCTGTGCTTGCCTTGGAGCCTTGTCCTCCATAATCCAGAGTCTAGATAAACACCTAAAATAACCTCAGCCCAGCCCATGGTGTTTTAGGGATGGAAAGGAGGATAAACACAGGGAACTTCTCTTGGGTCCTTCTGCAGCCCCAGTTTTTAACATGGCAATCTCCTTAACTCCTTCACTCTTCAGTGCCAAAGACCCAGCTCATAGTGACTCCATAGAAGAGATCAAAATTTTGTAAGACACATCAGATCCCCTTTCTCTCGACCACAAAACAGTAGACCCAAAGCAAAAGGTCCCAGGATGTCCATCCAACAATAATCCATTTCCAGTCACTGGCCCTAGATTCTGAGGCACCCTACTGAATCAGCTATTGCACAAATATAATGTCCTGATTACAGAATTACTGTAGCTTAGGGCCTGTTGGATCAATATCTTGATCCAACACTTTTGTGAACCCTTACTCTGCAACAGCTATTCCCTCTTCCCTCAGTTTCATGATCCAGTCAGTGGTCAAGGCAAGGAAGAGCTTTTAAAAGGACTTGGTCTGAGCTGTTTGGTCATGAGTGGGATGTTACACAGAGACTAACAACCCACAGAGCTGATGAAGGGGACGAGTTAGACTTCTGGGCTCCAGTAGATTCCTGCACTGAGGGATGGCTGAACACAGGAGCAGCAGGAGTCTTCTCCTTGTCAAAAAATCACCCTTACAGAGAAAAACGGTGGCAATCCTTAGAGCAGTCTTTTCTACAAGATGGATTTTCAGCTGGACTACAGCCTTGGCTGGTTTTTGCAGCTGAAACAGTTGTACTGGTATTTCCAATGTTCTCTGAGCAGCCCATGTAATAAAGGAGACTATTACAAGCAAAACAGAAGGTAAATACTCATCGGCGTCTTCTGTGCTGAGTCTCTGATTGCGTGAAATGTCCAAGAGTTATGATCCACTCTTCAACCATTTTTTGGGGATGGTCGACATCACTTGTTGGAGAACAAGTGTTGATATCACTGCTGGAAAGTTGATTTTAGAAAGTCTGCATGAAGGACAATTTAAAATTACCTCTCTGGTACCTTCCCAATGCTTTCCTAGAGACCACTCCGCTTACAGCTCGTGGAAACGGAATCCTGTCTTCCTTCTGGTGGCAAACATGTAAAAAAGTTTCCCAAGAAAATTGTGGAAAGAAAATTGTGTTCAATACACTTCCTAAACCCAAAGAAGAATGGAAGGCTGTACTCTCAGTAGACCTCAGAAAATTCACTTCTTTCACCACCAGATTCCTGTTCCCAATGCTAACTCTAACCTCTCTGTTTCCCTTCCTTTCCACACAAGATTGATTCACAGAACTTGATTTAAAGGATGTTTATTTCCATAACAAAAATGATCAGGAGTCTAGAAAACATGACCTATGAGGAAAGATTGAAAGAATTGGGTTTGTTTAGTCTAGAGAAGAAAAGACTGAGGGGGAGACATGATAACAGCCTTCAACTATGTAAAAGGTTGATGCAGATAGGAAGGTAATAAATTGTTCTCTGTGTCCACTGGGTATAAGACAAGAAATAATGGGTTTAAATTGCAGCAAGGAGGATATAGGTCAAACATTAGACACGTTTCCTAAGAGGAAGGACAGGTGAGAACTGGAATAAATTAGTCAAGGAGCTACAGACTCTCCTGTCACTAGGAATGGCTCAAACCTGGCAAATCTTGCCTCGGGGTAGAGGGATAGACCATCTCTCAAGGTCCTCTCTGCCTGTTTCCCTACTTGTCTGTATTTATACCAGCCAAAATGATCAAAAATATCTTTGTTCCATAGAAAGGAAAGAGAAAACCTTTCTTGAAGCCCCCTTCTCCCCCGGGAGGTTTTTACTGCTGGTTTTATCTATAGTTACAGTGCATTTGAAGGCATCCACATTTCTTTCTATTTAAGCAATTAACTAAAGGACTATTTTTACAGATCCACCCCTCCTGCACATGTTTTCTCTCATGGTTCATGCCATTAAATGTTATGTCAGCACCCTGTTCAAAAGCTTTCCCCCAGGTGAGAGGTGCAGGACTCCCAGACAAGTAAATCCTGTCCTATCTGGACCCAGCCAGTGAGAACATCATCTGACTGAGGGAGGTTCCTCCACCTCAGGTCCTCGGGTCTCAGGTACAGCCACAACTGTACATACCACACCCCACACTCTGCTTAAAATGAGTGTTTTCCAGGAAACATATGGAATTGCACTCACAGAGCAGGCACTGGTGGGTAACCTTGGCAGGCAGGATCCCTCTCCTCCTGAGGTGGGAAGCTCAACCCCCCAGCACGGATTGGGTTTGGGTTCTCAACTCCAACTCTGCTTGTACCAGTTGTGTCAACACCTCCAGTTCACCTCCAGTGCAAAGGACAGCGGAGTAAAAACACAACCTCTCTGTCCAGTGAAAAAAACAGAAATATAATTATTCAATGTTGAAGGAAATCTCCATGTTTCTGCCTCAAGCAAACCAGGATGGTTCCAGAACATGGAAAGGTTAAACATTAAGCTCCAAAGTAGAAGACAGTAACTAATCTTCAAATCTGTCTTTCCCTCTTCCCCCCATTCCCACTCTGTCCAAAGGGTCTGATGCTATGGACAGCAAGGAGACATTTTTTCTTTAGGCACTGAACTTTACAGAAGCAAAATGGTTCTGGATCCAGTCATGACTTTTTTTGTGTCATCTGCAGAGCAAAATTATCCAACCTGAGGCACAACATCTTCTGCCATTTACACCTTAATAAAGCTTTTGTGACGCAGTTTCTTCATTATTTTATTTTTCAAATGTCATTAAAATTAACTTACCTGTGGAACTTTTTTTTACTTAAGGCCAACCATCACAATTCAGTCTGATAAAAATGTTTCATGTAGCTGTCCCAGACACCATAAAACATAGTTTTAGAGTGGTCAAGCTTAAAGGTTTATCTGTGTCAAGTCCAATGACTATTTACCCTCCCTAAAAAAGGAAAAAAAACAAAACAAAACAAAAAAAAACCCCCAAACCAAACAAAAAAAAAACCCAACCAACCAAAAAACCCCAAAAAAACCAAAACCAAAACCAAACCAAAACCAAAACCAAAACAAACAAAAAACAAAAACAAACAGAAAAAGGCAAGAATATTTGTATGAATCTTTTTTAGATGTTCTCATTTTTCACCTGAAATGAATTTTTTAAATTGTTAGCCTAACTGCATTTCTAATGTGTTTTATGCATACACACATCCCCATGTATATGCAACCCACCAAAATTTAATTACAGGTTGATTAAACATTTAGGATGGTACCAAGAGTTTTTTGGGGGTTTTTTGAGAGAAATTCCTTTCTCCCTAAGTTCTTGCTATTAAAACATGTGGAGACATCAATGTCACACAACGTTCCACAAAAGGTGTGCTTCCTTTTGTTTCCAGCTCAACTTCCCATCAAAAAGCTGTGAATCCTACAGGTCCTGCTCGACTGGGCTGGTCTGATAACAGGGTTTGTCTCCATCTGCTGGTGCATCAGCTTTTAGTGCCTCAAATGTCTGAAAAATACTAATATTTTCGAAAAGATTTGATAAATCCAGGAGATGCTCCTCATTCGGTTTTCTTATTCCTAATTATTACTACTGTGACCAAGTGTTGCCTGTAGGGTTAGGTGGTATTAAGTACAATCATGTTGATATATTGATGCTGATTAGGAATTCATTTTCTCTGCTCACACTGATTTAAGATTCTTTTTCTGATATTGATTAACCTCCTGCCTGAATCAACCCACCAGGGAGGGTAACAGATTTACGCCCAGGGTATAACCCCACGTCATGAAGCACAGGAATTCACATTTGAGACTTGATCCTTTAACTTTGGACTGATGAAATTGTCAGGAATAATCCCACTAGACAGGACTGCTTCCCTCCACTGATGCTAAAAATGTGATAAATGCCCCATTCCTGGAAGTGTCCAAGGCCAGGTTGGATGGGGCTTGGAGCAACCTGGGCTAGTGGAAGGTGTCCCTGCCCCTGGCAGGGGGTGGAATGGGATGGTCTTTAAGGTCCCTTCCAACCAAAACCACTCTGGTACTCCAGCTGCAGGGATGGATACCTCTCATTCTGCCATCTAAAGCTATGGAAGGCAAATCTCATCCTACATTCCTCACGTATTCATTGCATCACATGGGCTTGTTCCCTCAGATTAACACAAAATTCTTGTCTTCCAGGTGGATTTAGCCGGTGGGGGACCTATTCCAGAGTCTCTCCCATCAAGGCACAAACATTGACAGTGATCTGGCAGCACATCTAGAAGACAGGGAGCTGATACACAATACCTGGTACACATCACATGTAGGATTCATCTTACCTAACTCTATCCACCTGAGAGGGAAGAGTCAGGTCCCAGCCAGTCATATTAGCTCCCTGAATACCCAGCAGAGATATGCATTTCCAGAGGGCAACTTATTCCATGACTTCAAGACACCTGTCTTTGGCAAAATAAATCCAACCCTAGGAAAACCTTATCACCTACATTATTTTTTCACTTCAAATTAGAAGATCACTGTCAGCCTTCCCACCTGGCAAAGAGCAGATCGGATCTGGACCCATCATTCATCTGATGGACAAGTGAGGCTCTGGAGAAGGCAATAGCAACGCCTTGAATTACTTCAGCTGTGTAAGAACAACTACCAATGCTCTCTTGGCCTGATCCTAAAAAATTTAAATGCCTTTGTCAAAGATATTTGGGGAAAACTAATCTGAGTGAAAGTTTGATGGATCAAGTCTCTCGCTTTCGGTGTGAAAACAGAACCCTCCGTGGAGCAGCTCCAGCTCAGTCTCCACGATGGGAAATGAAACGTTACAGTTGTATGTTAAAGACAGTGATCACCAGGATATTCAGTTCCTGGGGATAGGAAATGGGATATTCTTGCTTAAAATAAGTCTCCTTGTAACTTGTTTGACCAGTGATTCTAAAGATGATGATAATTCAAGTCATGTGTCAGATCCTAACGTGGGCTGCATTTACTTTTACATTTAAATGCCCCCATGCACATAAATGGAGCCGTTACATCAAGAATATACTGTTACATCAAGATTTATTTAACTGAATCCCCCATAATTAGGTCATAACGTCTGATTAAGCAGTTGTTAAACTGTGTCGTAAGGGAATCTACAAAGGGAATGAAATATTTAAAACAGTAATAACATACCTATCCTGCCTCGCTATTTATGCACAGTTAAACACATAAAAACAAAGGAGCAACTCTTAATTACAAGGACAATTTATTTCGCTGACCTCCTTCTTGGGACACATGCCAGGCCCACTGGGGGTTGGTTTGGTGGCGGATTTGGTTGATTTTGCAGGGAAAATGTTGTTGGAGAGGCTGCAGTTTGTCTGCCTGGGGAGAGCAGAGCGTTTCTCAGGGCTAATTTACAGCCTTCCCGAGTGGTCAAGGGCAGCCACGGAGTACACAAATTACAGTTAAAAATAGAGATGGCTTTATGGAATCTCATTCCGGTGGCTTCCAAAGGTACAGGGCCAGGAACACATACATCTCATTCCACGCTGCCTGTAAGCCCATTTTCATCTTTTTTTATTTTTTTTTTTACTTTCCCCCTTGGATCCTGAGCTCCACTCCAGTTTTGAACTTCCATAGGAAGGCAGGAGGTTAAACCAAACTGCTAACTGTGTCTCTTCAAAACTGACATTTAATACAGGGTATAAATCACTGTGGGAGCCTGTTATTCCTTCAGGAATGCAATTACATAGGGTCAAATAAAACATGAAAGAACCCAACAAGTTTTAAAATGTAGTATGTTCTCAAAAGCAGGCAAGAAGGAATGCAAAGCAGTCCAAATATGCTAACATCCACATGTTGTCCTGTGTGAGGGGGATTAGAAGGGAAGGTTTCTGTTCTTTAACGATTAGGTTGTTAAGGGTAGGTTTGTGTGCAGGTTCAGGGCTCTCACTGAATCCCAGCTCACTCAGGGAGCTTTGGGCAGATTACTGTATTTATTCAAAGCAGGTGCCCTTTATGTATCTCATTATTTAATTGCCACTGTAGTTGTATTTAAGATACCACTTAGCACACAAATGGGATATGCAAAATGGACATTCACCTTTTCCTCGGAGGCTCTGGGATGCAACAACCCCCATTCATCTGGACCCTGGTGATGGAGAGATATCGGGAGATATCAGGATACATAAAAGCACAGCATTGCAAAATCATCCCTTTGATAAGCAAACATCTGCCTCTTCCATCTCTTGCTCTTGAAACAACAGGCAAAGACATAAATAAAGCCTCATGAAACCTGTTAAAACCCGAACAAAAGATGATTAAGTAGGTTCAGCACCTCCTCTAACATCACTCCCTGTCACCCTTCACATTTCACTCACATTTCTCTGAGAAAAGCCTTTCTGCTTTCATATTTTAGCAATGTATTCAAAAAGCCTGGAAGGAAAAGTCCAGAGGTTCTAGCAAATTTCTGAGGTCAAATTCGCCACCCTCAATTTCGCTACTCTGTATTTTATACATTGAAAGCTTAAACTAAGCAAACTGTGAAGTTTCTTAATTGAAAATCTGGGACTTATCGAAGGCAATTTTTATCTGAAAGTAATTTTCTCAGCTAAATGGGATTCTTAAATTCAAAATTAAAGGCTTTACAGTAAAAAATAAATTTTTAGGCATCTTAATATGAGAATTGTTAGAAATGTTTCCTTTTCTTTTTATAAAGAAGTGACTCCTCCCCAATAGTGAGTGATGTTTAAAGATATATATATATATGAGAGAGTACATTGCTTTTAAACACCTTAAACATTTTAAATTGCTTTAATCATGCTTTTTAAAGTTTTGGTTTTCACATTTAAGTATAAAACTTTCACTTTTTAACCCTCTCCCTGAGGAAGTAACACAAGTAATACTTTACTTTCTAAATGTTTTCCAGGGGAAAAAAGTCTAACAGAAATACATGAAATAACTCATTTTTCTCTTTTTAAATCAAGCAGGGAAAACCTTAATAGATTTGGAAAAAGTAAGGGTTTCCTCATGATCTTTTAAAAATTAGGTTTTTACAGCAAATTTCCTAATGGGAAAACTACAAGTGGGGATTTTTTCCTACAAAATCCCCACAGCTCCAGCTCTCAGACTCCCTGATTTCACCTCCGCTAAGGCTGCCAGAATAAAACCTTGGATTTCTCTCCCCTGTTTTATAGCAACCCACTGCATTACAGTTCCATGGGTCACTGGCCCTGCCAACACTTAAATATATTCTCAGAAGGAAGGCTGTGAATAAGTTTTTGCAGAACAAAACCTTTGTTAAAGGTAGAGGTAGCACTACTGTCTCTTATAAAGATTATTAAACACTTCCTACTGCAAGAATATGGTTTTATTTGCTTAAAATGTTGCCCTTCTCCAGCCACACTGGTGAAATATCCCATGATGATCATGGCCCTCAGGGTTGGTTTGTGTGTGGGGAGGATTTTTTTTAATATATTTTTAATATCTACCAGAATGACTCACCTGTTTCAGAGGGGAACAAACAGCGCTCGAGGGGTTTCTCAAACAGTCTCTGCGGTTTGAAATGTTCTGCTGTCCTAATTCCTTGCAGGAAGGGCTTAAAAATTCCTAGCAAGGGGATCTCTGGATGAAGAAGAGACCTTTCACTTGCCACGTGAAAATGCCCCCAAATACAAGTGTTTATAAAATGCTGTTTGCACTTATTCGCCAACTGAATGGAGAGACATCTCAAAAAGTTGATAGTAAAACTTGAATTTCACTTCCAACCTGAACCTACATTCCATGCTAAGAGAATTCCCCTTTTTTAGTATTGTTTGGGGGGAAAATTACAGTTGAGAAAAACCCCATCCTCACAGAAAGCACCCCCAAAAGGTTTGGGGTTTGGTAGTTCAGGTCAGTGCTGGCAGAGGGGAAGGGTTCACATGGTGCCAATTCCCTGAAGCATCATGTGAGACTCCAATCCTGGGGCCTGTGACACATTCAGAGTCTGCCACTCTTCCAGGTGAAATTAGGTTGGAAAATGCTAATGGAGTGGCAAAAGTTGAGAAAACTGTCATCCTTCCCAGAAAATCATGTCCCCTTCTGAGGTTATTCTCTTCAGATCCAGCTCCTTGAGCTTTCCACTGCTGAAAAGAACTAAACCAACAACAGGGAAAATTTAGGTTAGGATGTACAGAAGAAATTCTCCTCTGTGAGGGTGGTGAGGCCCTGGCACAGGTTGCCCAGAGAAGCTGTGGCTGCCCCATCCCTGGGAGTGTTCCAGGCCAGGTTGGATGGGGTTTGGAGCAACCTGGGCTAGTGGAAGGTGTCCCTGCCCATGGCTGGGGGTGGAACGAGATGATCTTTAAGGTCCCTTCCAAACCACTCTGTGATTTTATGCTCATTTTGTGTATCCCTGAGCCTGTTCCAGCAAGAATTTCACACACAAGCTCAGTGACAGCACACAAGCTGCTGAGATGGTCCCTGACTGCAGAAGCCCCAAATCCAAGAGATGCCTGTACAGTCAAGGGAGATGTTGAATGCTGTGTGTGTATAAAGTTAAAATTACAACTTTTTAGCTGCATTTGGTACATAGAATTATAGAATCATTGAGGTTGGAAAAGCCCTCCAAGATCATCAAGTCCAATCATCACCCAGCACGGCCAAGGCCACCACTGACCCATGTCCCCAAATGCCACATTCACACAGCTTTTAAATCCCTCCAGGGATGAGGACTCCACCACTGCCCTGGGCAGCTGTGCCAGGGCTGGACAACCCTTTCCACGAAGAAATTTTTCCTAATATCCAACCTAAACCTCCCCTGGTGAAACTTGGGTCCATTTCCTCTTGTCCTATCGCTTGTTACCTGGGAGAAGAGACCAACACTCAGAATATCAAGTTTGCAGTGGTCCCCCAAGGGTGAATATTCATGTCACTTATCCAAGTAAAACTTAAATACCGAATGGGCTTGACTGGGGAGGGAGCAACATCAACCCAGCTCCGAATGCTGGAAGAAGCAGCACATGGAACTGCAAATCTGCTGATAAGATTTGTTACACAAAAACTGATTAGAGAAAAGCAAATGCAGTGCCTTTATTTAATGAGAAAAAACCCAGCTTGATCACTCATAACACCATTATCAATATATTATAAAAAGGTGCAGAAGAAACACTGGGTAAAGAATAAAGAGGGTTGTGACACAACATGACAGAGGGGACAAACTTCAGCCTGGATATAACAGTGTCAGGCTTTTGTACCAGGCTGCTCTATCCAAATATTAGGTAAACCCTTGATATGTTGCCACACAACATTTTTAGTGAAACTGGAGAAGGCTGGGATAAGACAAGTGTAAGGAGGATAATAAATTGTCTAAAATGGAGATGATAGCACATTGCACTGACAGAACAAGTGAACTGAAGGGAGGTTACTGGAGGAATTCTCAATATCAGCTGTGGGATGGTTGCATTTAACACTGCCTCCACCATGCTGCTGCTAAATGTGGGATTACTTCTAACCAAATTGCCTGAGGTACAGAGTCAAAAGTCACCATCAGTACCAGGAAGATCAGAATATCATACCTGAGGAAATTATCTACAAACCACAAGATGAGTCAGGGACTAAAACAACATCCTATCACAGGCACTGATGCTGTGTGGGGCACTGGGGGTTCTTCCTGAAGAATTCTCTGCTGGTTTATATTTGAAAAAGATTAGTTCTAAGTGGGACAAGAGTGGAAAACAGGTGCAAAGGATGGTCAGGATCCAGGAGACAATGCTCACAGGTGTGGCCAGGAATAAGGGAGGAAGATTTCTAAGGATCATGGTAGTGGGGTTCACAAACAGGACCCCAAGAGGAGCTCCAGAAGTCTGAAGTTGCACCCTCATTAGACTAAAAACAGATATAAAATGAGGCTGCTTGCTCTCATTTATGAGAAGTTCAGCAAGCAAAAGGGAGAGAGACTTAATCTCAAAAACCTGATAAAAACGACACTAAATGTGGGTTACTCAGCAGGAGGAGGAGAGTGCTGGAAGAAGGAATGGACTTAGCAAGCACTTAGAGCTGAGTAGCTGATAAAGTTGTGGCTCAAACTCGACCTACACACCTTGAGTGAGCACACACTTCAGAGTAGCCACCATGCATGTTAGACAGGATTTCCATCCCCTAGAAAGAAGCCAGCATTGAACTAGAACTGCCCCAGAGATCAGCAGACACATGAATTACTAGGCATTGTTATCTTTAGATTTAAAACAAGGTTCTGATTTGGAAAATCCAGGTCACATTCAGGGTTTCAGAGTAAATCATAAACCAGGTGTGTGAGCAGTTACTGTGCAGGCCATAAACACAACGGCTGAGCTGCAGGGGCAGATCCTGAGGATTATATTCGGTCGGTGTTTGATCTCTCTTATCCCACTGGTGAAACTGGGTTTTTACTAAGCATTGTGTCAGAGATCCTCGTTCCACTCCACACACACAGACACACACACAGACACACACACACACATGCATTCAGGCAGGCTCATAAACTTTAACTACATACAGAAATTCCCATACTGCCTCTTGGATATGGTCCAGCTCATGAAGGGGTGCACTGGTGGATGATCACTACCTGCCAGGTACAAAGCCTTCTCTTTTCTCCCCGGGTTGAGTGCTGTCATGAGCTGCACTAATGCCTCTGCAATAAAACTCATCAAATTCCCTCAGTATAAAGTAACGAGCTGTAGCCCTTCTACCAACCTACATCTGCTATTTACAGCGGGCCAAGAAAACAACCAGCAATGTCAACTCTTCATTGTGCTCCTCAGATCATCAGTTCTCTGAAAATAACAAAATCTGAAAGGCATATGGGCCTTCTCATAAAAACAACAAACACACAAACACACCCTCAGATGAGTTTCCCAAGTCAGCAGGATCTGTCTGCTAATTATTACCGTGCAGAGAGATGAACTATCCTGTAACCAGAAATTACCCAAGAAGAGGCCCGAGTTCTTCACCCCAAACTGGGATGTTTGGACAGGCTGAACTCCTTCATTTCTGCGGGGTAAATTGAAGGATTTATTTCCCCACACCAGCACAGCCACAAAACCTAGAAGATACTAGACATTGGGAAGAAATTCTTGCTTCTGAGGGTGGTGAGGCCCTGGCACAGGTTACCCAGAGAAGCTGTGGCTGCCC